GCAAAAAAATCGCAATGCCCTTTTTACCAAGTTTTGCGCCATTTCTGCTTGTAGCATACTTACGGCGCGAAGACGTCGTGACATTATGTAAGCATTATTTACGGTTAAACATGTTACGGTTCAAGTGCTTTTTTATGAGTACCCGATAGCTGAACAATCACTGTGTGTGGTTCACGTGTGTGAGCATCACGTTCAACAAACACGCAAACATCCAAAGAGTCCACCGTGCATGAACATGCACGTGCAAATTGTGTATTACGTTCCTAGAGCCGAGGAGGTGAGGTGGGGTGAAATTGGGTTTAACGTCGCGTCCAAGAATATTGCACTTACATAGCGACGTGCATGCACGTGTGTGTGTGGCTGCTTGTGCTAGTCCGGACTGATGCCGATTTATAGTGCTAGCTCACCGAGATACCATGCCGCAGTTTAACATGAACACTGACACACTATACTGACTTCGAGCCGACCAGTCCTTGTTTTAGCCCCTTAATGCCGAGCGCCAGACAGGGTAACAACAAGTACATTTGTTAACGTCTTTTAGTATGACTCAGTCGGGGATCGAACCCCGGGCATTCCGCTCTTCGGGCGGACGCTCTACCACTAGACCTCGGAGGCGGTTCTAAAGTCGAGGAGATGTCTTCATATATATGACATTGTATTGAAAGATACATTCATTAATTTCAGAATAAACACTTTTATAGTTACTTTTTCACGTATTATACATACAAAGACATGATGGTATGGCACGGTAATTTTACAATTGATTTTACTTGTTTTCTTAAGGCAATGAAAACGCAATCCAATTTTCAAACGTGAATTTTATTAACATAAGAAAATTTCAAAGCTTTTATTAAGTATATTAGCAAAGACTGATCACGATAGGGAAAATCTGCATAAAGCAGTGTCCAGTATCATCAGTTCTAACCCCATTTACAGGAGAGAGATTGAACAGACCCTCAGTATCTGGTGTGTCCACCTGGAGCACGAACACAAGCTTGCAAACGCCTTGACATGGACTCACATAAACGACGGATGAAATGAGCCGGGATTGCGTTCCAGTGATACTGCAATGCCTGAGTGAGCTCAGCAACATTGCGGGGCGGAATCTGCTGTCGTCTCACACGCCTACCAAGTTCGTCCCACAGGTGCTCAATTGGGTTCATGTCTGGTAACCTTGAGGGCCACTGCATGACCTCCACGTTGTTTCTCTGAAGCAAATTCCGTGTCAGGATGGCAGTATGGGGCCTAGCATTGTCATGCTGAAAAACCACCTGCTGCAGCCCATCACTGTCGTTGAAGTCTGTTTTTATGCGTTAAGATCTGACCTTGGTACGGTCGACGTGACCGTATCCCTGCTGCAGCAGGACGTCGACGCACAGTTCGACTGCTGATGGATCTTCCTCTGCTTCTGATAGTGCTGTTAGCAGTCTGTACAGCTGTCTGAAATCGACGTCGGAGGTGTTGCATGACAGTATAGCGATTCTGACGTCCTGTTGTCACCCGTTGAACGCCTGGGCGTGGCCGATCCACCACCCTGCCTGTGACTTGGTAGCGCCTTCTGAGACGACTGACAGTTGATGGATGGACATTAAAGTGTTGTGCAACGTCAGTCTGTGGAGTGCCAGCTCGCAGCATTCAAATGGCCTGGTGTCGCTGATCTTGGGTTAACCGTGGCATGGTGCATATGGACACAATTTCAAATCATGATGTGATTTTATAGGGGAGCAATGTGTACTGTTGGCATGCAATTCAAAATTCATGTCGCGCACGTGCATTTCGGACTGCAAGCTGAAGATGTGTTTTGGCGTTTTGTTCAGGATGGTGTGCACACAACCAAACATGTCTGTACACACGACGACAGAAGACAATTATCACGCTAAGTAACATTTTTCAATAACTAATCACTTCGTTTTCTCCTCTGTTACTAATCTATGATAAAAAATGCTGATTGCGTTTTCATTGCCTCTCAGTATAGTTTCGTTATCTGTAGGGCACTGACAAAAATATATTCATGTGGAATATATCATGTTATGCACTTAACGTCACTACCGACATGTGCTGTTTGATCAATGACCAAGTGACACTGGCATTATTGATACATCTGTCCCTTCCAGCGAACTTTAAGTTGATCTAGACAACTACCATACCTATCAGTAGAAACACATCGGCTTTAATATGAAAGAATATAACCTTGCTTTTGTTCTTGCAGCGTTTCTTTAAATTCACCGTGTCTAGTACTCCCTGTGCCACATACGTTTTTTTATTTGTTGTTTAACGCCGCGCTCAGAAATATTCCAGATATATGACGGCGGTCTGTAAATAATCGAGTTTGAACCAGACAATCCATTGATTGACATCATGAGCATCGATCCACGCAAATGGTATACGATGACATGCTTGTCGTAAGAGTCGACTAACGGGATTGCGTAGTCAGGCTCGCTGTCTTGGTTGATGCATGTCATCGTACCCCAACTGTGTGGATCGATGCTCATGATGTCAGTCACTGGATTGTCTGGTCCAAACTCGATTATTTACAGACCGCCGTCATAATTATAGCTGGAATATTGCTGAGTGCGACGTTAAAAGCAAACAAACAAAAGACGTCCATTACGACAATCAAAGGTTCATTGGTACCAATTCTACCCCGGAATCCCACGGGCCACCATGAACAGATGTAGCTCTTTGTAAAGACATCATTACGGAAGTTATCTTCGTCTTGCGAGGTCAGAGTTACTAACATACCTATGTGTGAACTTGAAATTAGTTTTGGTACTTCAAAATGGTTGTACCGCATGCCGCATAAAGTGTTTTACGCTTGCCAGAAGAGTGTGTGCTCAAGGCATGTTAATGCTTCCAAATCTGTTCAATGTTTTGTGTTAAGCCTCTCTGATGATGACGTGAGTGAGTGTGTGAGTTGGGTTTAACGCCGCTTTTAACAGTTTTCCAGTTATATCCCAGCGTGTCAGCTTAATGTGGGAGGAAAGCCCGAAGTGATGCAGGTCTCAAACGTTTACCACTTCGGTGAAACCCACGAGCACGGGTACGGTGCTGACAAACTTAGAAACATAATCGGGGCGAACCGGGATTCAAACCCACAATCATAGATTTCTGGCGTGCCCAAGGGACGCAACTCTGCACAGCGAATCGCGGCGCCTAAGACGACTGGGCCACCCGTGCCCCCTCTGATGATGACGACACGCGTATTTGAGATATCGTAATTGACTTGCAAAAGTGTTCTGATGTCTAAACTTGCTTTTGCGTTATTCACTCTTTTTGAGTCAATGTTGGTAAAAACAAAACATTTTTTATTATGGGTATACACTTAAATTCTTAAATTTAATATTTAAGGTTACACACCTAAAGATTTATGTATCACCTCTTTTCAAAATGTACTCCAGATAATGTTTTTGTATTTACATATTGCAATAATATCTTTGCAATCAAAGTTATGGTGCTTGAACACATGCAACATAACACATTCAAGAATATTAATCTCAGGCTATTCTTTTAAGACTTTAAACAGTATTAATGCCTCCCCGATTCAGTTAAAAAAATTTGTTGTCATTCATTAGGACATAATTATATGATATGATCAGAATCGTGCAGTTGACTCTGCTGTTGGCACAGATTTCTTGTGATTGTATAAATGGCGTGTCTGAAAATTGTAGCCTTCAAAAAACCTCCCTATGATGTTAAACTGGAGACACGCCAAAGAAACCTGAAAACATTCTTGAAACATATTAGTACTAAATGTCTCTCAATAAAACAAAGAAAACAAAAACATAACGTTTCTTTTCACGTGAAAAAAAATGTTCGCAGGATTTCCTCAAAGGCACACGTGAGTCGAAATGATGACCTGAGATGGTTTTTCGTTACTAGAAATACCCTTCTGGAAGATTGACGTTTCGTAAGCAGACAAGCTAAGTGTTGTTTTAATGAAGTGATCCAGTCTTTTCAGGACAGACATTTTGGCTCACAATTATCGTTTACTTAAGGCAATGCGACCAGAGTATGCATTCATTGATATGTTACATCGGCATGTATATTGATGAGAGACATACTATTTCTTCCGTCACTGCGCCTCGACATACAGTTGCTACTTTATGAAAGGAGGGGCAAGACATTTGTTCTACCCAGAACTCATCAATTTTGAGCATACAGTGTACAATTATATTTGTTATAAAACCTACGGCAGGAATAACTGTTTTGTTTCAATATCGCCCTCGTTGTCTTTTCTGACATGTTGTAAATACTATTCAAAATAACATCTATTCCGTAACGAATATAGATATGAATATTTATAGGAATCGATACTTAACACGTGTTGCAAGAAAACCTTTTGATGGTGACCAACGACATCTTTCCTTTAAAGCGAAACTAATAAGAACATGTATGTCCGAGTTAGAATAGGTCTTCAGCAACCCATGTTTGCAATAAAAGGCGACTATGCTTGTCTTAAGAGTCGACTAACGGGATCACGTGGGCAGGTTCGCTGACTAGGTTGATGTGTGTCATCGTATCCCCATTGCGTGGATCGATGGTCATTATGTAATCACTGGATTGTCTTGTCAGACTCGATTAACTACAGACCGCAGTAATATGGCTGGAATATTGCTGAGTGCGGCGTTAAACAACAAACAAACAAATCATTCAGACGTAATGGTGATATCTGAGATTTAATGCAGTTGAGAACAGAAATAATGTGTTTCGGTGGCAGAATTTTATAATTAACATGTGGTTCCCGTGTACAATGTTATTTATGATGGACTATAACTACAAATTCACTAATAATACTGACTTAGCCATAACTATTCTAAGGATCGTAGAGTTAGTTTTGTGTTTATGTATTAATGCATGTGGCGATCTGTAGCGGACGAGATATACCATGAAAGAAGAAAGCAAATATGAAACTTTTGGTTCTTTTGATAAAACGCAAAGTAAACAGGTCTAGAATATGTACGGCTTAATATGAAATATGCGTAGTCGTGTCATGTACTTACCAGCTGGTTCATATTGGAAGCGCCCGCTTCCCGCCTATATTTATTGTGAGTCCTTAACAGATCAACTTTCTCCTCGAATGTGAAGCCAGCCCTGTCCTTGGCTATCACATCCCACCGCCAAGCATCCAGTTCATGTAGACAACACCCAAGGAACACAACCAGAAGAGTTAACGTAACCATCGTGCTTGCTGGACAACTCTACCTCTTCTGATCAATCTACAAACCTGGATTACACACTTTATATAGGACTCCATATGAGTCAAGGCGGCACCTCACCTATTGTGTCTACCTGATGATTGTGTCTACAGGCACATTGATTGGTTGAGATAGATGGCTTACAGCGGCAGTCATTTACATATGTTCGTATGTCGATAGCCCAGATTGTTTATTCTGTTTATGAACAGCTGGTGGAAGTGTGAGGACATGATTATTGTATTGTCGATGTGACATTCATGAAGCAGTCATACTCATGGCTCATGAACCAAACAACAGTTACCATGTGTGCTTTGAATAAGGCAGAAAGGTTTTCACATGTAACATGAATAAGCGCATTTTCAACATTTGTCATATTATTTCATAGCAGCAGCAGCTTCACAGGTCAATACTTATGTTATGCAGGAGTATGTTACTTTCTAAGGTATCACTTTAACTGACAAGAGTTATCACACGGTTGTTATTTACAATATGTCTACAGCTTGAAACTCTTCTTCAATTCAAAGGTTGGGGTGTCATAAAGTCGCGTTGTGCCCATGAACATTGTATGATAACATCAACAATTACTTTGGTGGGATAACATGATCACTACATAGGTGTCATGACATGGGAACAATGTTACTAAAACACATAAATGTGTTGATCTCATCTATCAATCTCATTCTTAACAGGTACCATATTTAATACTGCCTCTATTTATCCCCAAGTTCAGTCCTTGTAGTCGCTACCAAATAAAGTTGTTTTTTGTCTTTGAAAATGCTCATTTTGTTCTATTATTCATTAAATGAACATCATATTTGACTTTTGATTGCTTTTATTTCACTTTCCAGCTTTCCCTTACTCATCTCTTTTCTGATTACATAAAAATATTTGGTGGTTGATGCTTTTGACGAGGTGTATATCTGCAATATTGCTGAGTGCGGCGTGAAAACAACAAACAAAAACGAAAAGTAGAGTCAATTGAACAATTCGGACTATATCATACGCATGTGTTTATGAATCACTATTAAATAGTGATGATACCGGGTGTTCGCGAAAAGAGCGTATCCTGCCCCACCGTTGGCACCAGTCACAAACACATGCTAAGACAAGGCAGATTTTTGGGGTAGAGTCATGTATTTATTTTTCATTTTTTCGAAGCTGAGATTTTTCTTTGCTTCTTAAAACAGAGCTGAGTATTTTCTACATCACATTTCAAATTCAACATAAATAAAAAATGTTACAATTTTCTCAATCCACTTAAACAGTACATATGTAGGTGATTTGAAAACAGGACAATCACAATATCAGTATAAATAAGCATTTTTGTATATTAAAACATCATTTTTTACACCATTTGTAGCAAAAGGACAAATATTTCTTCGAATTTCTTCTCACAGCTGGGGGAATGTAGTTTTCAATTCCTGAGATTGTGGATGATGGACATAATGTAATGTAAACTGACCAAGCAACGTTAAATTTGGACACGTTGGGTCAAAACCACAAATAGTGTTACAAAATGATAGAAAACATTTAGCTGAGTAATTCACGTTCTAAAGTTCCCAGATCAGTTGAGCTTGAGTTTGAAGTGAAACTTAGACTGCACTTACAACATGACGATCTACGAAGATACAGGTATAATCGAATCGATGTTCTGGCCATTCACATCCAAACCTTTGGACAGTGGAAAATATCATGCTAAAATTAATGCTAAAACAGAACAAGCTGTTGGTATGATACACCAGGGAGCAACGCATGACCAGGTCACACGAAGTTTTGGCTGTCGATGAATAACAGGCGCAGGCGGCATAACAGGCGTTTTGGACCGACTGGGCGAAAGAGTGACAGGCCTTGGAGTAGCAGACCTCCTGTCACCACTACACAGGAAAAATCCCTACATACGTATCGTCCATCTGAGGAATCGTTTTAAGATGGTGACGTTATCAGCTGAGACAGTCATCCTGTCAGTCGCTGGACAGAATCCAGAAGACTGTGTGGGTACAATATCGGAGCTTGCAGACCACTACGAAACGTAACGCTGACACCGGAACACAGACATCGACGGGCTCGAACACTGTGACGCTGGTATAACAGAAACTGGCAAAGTGTCACGTTCACAGAAGAGAGCAGATTCCAGTTTTCGCGAGCCGACGAGGACGAACGTTACGTTGTTGTGTTGAAGACGTCGCTCCGTTTGATGGAGGCAGTATAGTCGTTCAATCAGCACTTTCAATCAGTCAACATACAGATGATCATGGGAGCATGCTCGGAATAACTATACATGGTTATTGAACGTACAGCAAACATGCACTATATTTAGAATAACTAAATATACATAGTTATTCAACATACATTCTGCACTCAATCACTTCAGCATAATCATCAAGGTGCCTTCAAACCTTTCGACCATTGCACACTGGATTTTATGGGGTTGTAGTAAGCTGTTACAGTAGAACATGGATATAACGAACTACAAGGGACCAGAGAAATCCGTTCTTTATATCCGTTGTTCGTTATATACGTTTTCGCTCGGAAACGTCCGCCATCTTGGATAAAACAAAATACAAGACACGTACTTGCAGCATTGATTTGTATTAACAGTGATCACTTCATAGCATTCAATTGATAACATTTTATAACATTCATTTAATAACATTAAATTCATAACATTTTTCGAACATTGTTATGAAATTCCTCTCACTTTTGCCCGCCATGCTAGCATATGCAAGTGAACTAACACTTGGACACAATCTCGTAAAATGTATATGTTAATGTTTGTTTTACAGACAAGATTACATGTACAGGTAAGATTAACACAATGCAAGTTGAGCAAGGCTGATCCGTCACCGCAGATTGTGTTGATTCGTGGCGATTGTGTTGATTCACCGCTGATTGCATACAGCCAATTGTCAGTGACACTTGACACTGAGTGAGATTTCTCAGTTCGCTATACACGTCACTAATTAGCGGTAAATGGGCTTGTCGGTGATCAGATATCAGTTCGCTGAAGAGAGTTCGTTATATACGTAAATTTTATATGATGTTATATTGGGGGTAAATCGGGTACTTCTTTCATAAAAGCAAACGTGAACTGTGCACCCATATCTGACAACGTCTCCTTTGTAACACCGACCCTGTTAAAAATCTCCAACAATGCCCCAGCAGCATACTCTGTTTCTTTCCTTGGAACTCTTCTGCCTCCAGGTCCCTTGTAGCAGAATCTATTACTACGAGGATGTATCTGTTACCCCTATCAGTTACCGGATATTAAAGACAAATCTATTTTACAGCTATTCTTTCAAATGGTGTAGCGATCAAGGGCATCTGACCTAACGGGACTCTTCCAACCTTGTCCTTCGGAATCGCCTGCTGCCACACGTCACATGATAAACAGTGACGCCTCACATCGCCCTGACCAACAGAACTGAGAAGTAACTCCAATGTTCTCTTCACGCCTATATGTGCAGCATCAATAATTCGTAACACACTCATAACTCAAAAAGGTACTACAGCCTGAATAATTGCAACACTAGTATGTCATTCCTTGCAAACTTGCGATAAAGCATACCATCATCTGCAAAATACTTTGACACACCTTCAGCTGTTTGTCTTTCTGCCCCTTCCTCAATCAACTTCCTGACTTTATCTAAACTACTGTCATTCCACTGCTTCTCCATAAACTCTAAGCTGCTAGAGCAATGTTTTCATAGGCCTCATTCCTTCTACTCTTTTCCTTCTAGTCTCAACAGGTGCTACAAACTCTCCTCCTTTTTAGAGGCCCCCCAGTTGGAGCCGGTTAGACACGTTAAGTTGCCTTACCGGCTCCAACTGGGGGGCCTCTAAAAACACCCTCCTCTCACTCTATATATCACTAATTAGATCCAACCTAGACTATATGGCAGTGCCATTTACGACACCCTAAACAACTCTCTCATTAAAAAACTAGACTCAATCCAGTATCAGGCCCTAAAACTAATCACACGAACTCAACATGGCACCTCCTCCACCTCACTCCAGGCCTTAACAGGAGAAATGTCAACCATCAGGTCCTGCCATGGCCCTTCAGGTCTCCAGATTTAAACCCAATCGAGGATTTATAGGATCAACTACTGCGAGCACATGTTCGAACCTCCGACAGCTGGCACAGGCACTGCAGGTGGAGGGGGTGAACATTCCCAAGGACGCAATTCGGGATCTGACTATTTCCATGGGATAACGGTACCAGTCAATACAATATTAAGAACAGATGTCCTTTATCTTAAAAATCTACTGGTTCATGTGTACCATTTGAACCTAGGTGAATGACAATGGTGTCTGCCAATGTTGAACAATCGCTTACCATCAGCTGATTATTTACATGATATGTAAACCATACATCTAAAATCAGTTTTGCATTTCTGTTTTTGCTACATCCATATATATATTTCTACATCCATACGGTATTCAAATGCCACGCATATATACATGTAACTATACAAAAAGTACATAAATGATCTAATGTTTAATCTACAAGAATATGAGCATAAACAATATTCAAATAAAATGTAACTTACGCAACGAGATTGGACAATAACACCAAAAACAAAACTGTCTAACCAAGGTTAGAATTCTCAGTGATTGTCCTTAATTGAGGGTGACAGTCACTTAAATACCCATTCACTCACACAGCTCAAACAAGAAAATACGTTAACTCATGACCCCAGGGAAGTAACATTACATCGTCAGAACTTACATACAGTCCAACCACACTATAATACATACAGTCAAACCCACTTATAAGAAATATATACGATGTGATCCTGACACTGGTGATTTTGGAAGGACAGCGTTACATTGACCAATCTATCTACCCTCTTGTACAGGACCCTGTTTTAAGTTATTAGTGTCCCTACTCACATCGCTATTCAATCTTGTATTCACCACGGGTATTATTCCCAATACACTGGTATTATTAAGCCTATATACAAGAGAAAGAGTGACCCGCTAGACCCTGCTTCTTATCGACCTGTAACAATACTGATTTGTCTTGGTAAGCTATTTACTGGTATTTTAAACACTAGATTAACTATATAAATGTGAATAACAT